AATGGCTTGGTTCTCGTTTATCCGATCATGCGGGTAGATCTGTCTATGACTTTGCCTTGGCATATGGTCAAACACAACTGGTTACTTCGCCTACGCGTATCCCAGATGTGGAAGACCATGTACCTTCCCTGTTGGACCTTCTGCTGACCTCTCATCCGGACGGACATCAGGTCTCCGTCGATGCCCCTCTGGGCTCTTCGGACCATTGTCTGAACCGGAGTACGGTGCCACTCACGCTCCAATCGCAGTTGCGATCTGCAGCTTGCCGCCGTGTTTGGCATTATAGGTCAGCCAATTGGGACGGGATGCGGTCTTTTTTTGCATCCTACCCTTTGGGGCGGGTTTGCTTCTCGCCGGAAGATCCCAGCGTTGTTGCCGATTCTGTTGCTGATGTGGTACTTCAGGGTATGGAACTTTTTATTCCATCCTCTGTGGTGCCCTTCGGAGTCAGATCCCAGACATGGTTTGGTCGCTTCTGTAAAATAGCATCACGCTATAAGCAGGAGTGCTACCGGGCCTGGACTGACGCATCAACATCTCGGGATGTAAGCACCAACGCACTTAAAAAGAAGTACAATTTCGCCTCCATGTCCTTCAGAAGCGTCATTGCTAAGGCAAGGTCTGAGCACATCGGCAGAATTGGCGAGAAGCTAGTTAGCCTTCCTTCGGGAAACCGTGAACCAGAATGGTCTCTCGCAGCCATCTCCTCCATCTCTGCACACAGAGGACGACTCACTGGCACATGCCGAAAGGAGAAAGCCGATCTGTTGAGCTCTCTCTTTGCGTTCAACTTGACTCTAGATGATGGGGGGAACCCACCGCCGACCATCCCGCGATGTGAGTGCTCCATGCCGGATGTGCGGTTTACACAGCGCTCGGTTCGCAAAGTACTCTACTCCCTGGACGTCAGCAAGTCGAGTGGGCCCGATGGAGACCCTCCCATTGTGCTGAAGACGTGTGCTCCGGAGTTGGCACCGGTTTTAACGCGTCTTTTTCGGTACTCCTACTTCCAAGGCGTAGTCCCGAATTCATGGAAGACAGCTTTGGTTCACCCGATGCCTAAAAAAGGCGACCACTCAGACCCGTCCAACTACAGGCCTATCGCCATCACCTCCTTGTTCTCCAAAATAATGGAATCCATTATAAACTGCCAGCTTATGAGGTACCTTAAGGATCACCAGCTGATTAGTGACCGCCAGTACGGTTTTCGTCGAGGTCGATCAGCTGGTGATCTTCTGGTCTATCTGACTCATAGATGGGCGGAGGCAGTAGAGTCCAAGGGGGAGGCATTGGCCGTTAGTTTGGACATAGCGAAGGCCTTCGATCGGGTCTGGCCCAAAGCGCTTCTTTCGAAGCTTCCTTTCTTTGGGTTTCCCGAGTAATTGTGCAAATGGATCACCAGTTTCCTTGCTGGTCAGTGCATTCTCTGATATCAAGCCTATCAACGCTGGTGTTCCACAAGGCTGCGTGCTATCACCAACGCTGTCTCTCCTGCATATCAATGATATGTTGTAAACTGGTAGCATTCATTGCTATGCAGACGACAGCACCAGTGATGCCTTATATACCGGCCGTGCCAATATTTCTCGGGAAAACGTCGCCGAGTACCGGGACAAACTTGTGTCTGAAGTCGAGTCTTTGCTTAACAAAGTCTCGGATTGGGGGCGACTAAATCTAGTACAGTTCAATCCCCAGAAGACACAAGTTTGCGCGCTTACCGCTAAAAAGAACGGCTTTGTCGTATCTCCTCAGTTTCAAGGCACTCCCCTTGCTGCCTCAGCTGGCATCGGAATCCTTGGCGTCGACATATCGAATAGTGTGCAGTTTCGTGGTCACTTGGAAGGGAAGGCCAAATTGGCCTCTAAAAAGCTTGGCGTTCTCAGCAGAGCGAGACAGTATTTCATGCCGGCACATCGCTTGCAACTTTACAAAGCGCAAGTTCGGCCTCACATGGAATACTGTTCTCATCTCTGGGCCGGGGCACCCCAGTGCCAGCTTCTTCCACTTGACCGCATCCAGCGCAGAGCGGTTCGAATCGTTGACGACCGAGTTCTTTCTAATCGGCTCGATACATTAGCACTGCGTAGAGATGTTGCATATCTTTGCGTATTTTATTTTTTATCGCATCTATCACGGGGAGTGCTCTGAGGAATTGTTCGGACTATGATTGTCGGTCCACCACCGTGCGATTTAGAAGAAGTTTTCTCCCTCGCACAACTTCCTTGTGGAATCGATTACCACCAGCGATTTTTCTGGACCGATACGACTTAGGGACCTTCAAGAAAAGAGCTTACACCTTTCTAAAAGGCCGGCAACGCATCTGCAATTCCCCTGGTGTTGCGGTTGTTCATGGGCGGCGGTAGTCACTTACCATCAGGTGAGCCGCATGGTCGTTTGCCCCCTATTCTATAAAAAAAATTAGGGCGACCAGAGCGAGCTGCATCTTTGACATCAAAATTCCCCAACTGAAAACGCTTGAACCAACTTTGTACTACTCTTACTTACACTTCATTAGGTCCATAAACGTCACAAATTTTTTTCGCGGCTTGAGTTTCATTTTTCCTTTTTATGTAGTAAAACTTCAGAATTTTTTACGGCCGACAAAAATATATTATGCTGTTAAAATAACTTTTTAGCTGATTTTTCTTGCTGACTGAATATTTAAAACAGTGATTCCCAACCAGTGGTCCGCAAGAGCTTAAATATGGTCCGCGAAAGATTTTACCTACCTAAGCTTTTTAAATAACATAATATATGGGCATGGGTGTTTCACGTATTTCGTGCAAATTCCATGAATTTTCTAAATGGCAAATTTATTGTCGAATAACTTTGTTTCTTTTTCTAATATCGGTAGTATAGTAAAAATTATTATATATTACGTAATTGCTGTACTAAAATTAAATTTTAAATAGATATTTAATGATCATATTACTTAACATAGTCAATAACATCATTTCTCTTTGCCTTAATTAGAAATTAAGTCTTGTTTCTATATTTATACTAACCATAATCTTTGGAAATACATTAAAAATTAAAATTAGGCTTAAACAGAACTAAACTTATATTTCTAAAAGTGCTGATAAACCTGAGAATTGTAATGAATGTTACATTACACATAAATTGACGAGCATTTGTTATTATATTATATACTTGACGAGTGTTCGCTAGCATTATCGACGAAATGTTCGTATTGACGTTTGTCTTCATAAGTTGTTCAGTTCGACAAAATTTAAAAACAGTGAATGCTCACTGTTACAAGTAAATGTTCAGGTTTATTTATCTTTGAAATTAAAAAGAATAGATTTTTTTCTCATCTATTTATGGCATTAAAAATATCTTCTTCATCAGTGTCACCCCAAAAGTCAATCAGTCTTTTTTCTTTTTCTGTTCACTTGTTTCGTCTTTATTTTCTTTGGCGTTCTGTTCTATATTTGTACCCTTACTATAATGAATTTTTCAAAGTTTATTTGATAAGTATTATTTCCTTTTTTACTTTAGCAAGATTCTCCTTATCAATATAAAACTTTGTCCAATTCACATTTATATCCAATAATGTTTTAACTTTCTGCGAATACGGTCTGCTTGAAGATCTTTGAAGCTAATCGGTTGATCAGATTGAGTAACTGAAAAATTTGTGTTGCTTATTTCTTGGATAATATCTGGTGTTGTATTCTCATCGAAGAAACTCTGAAATTGGTTAATGTCCAATATGTTTATCGAGACTGCAAATAACTTTATTGCCACACTGAAGACAACTTAGTTTTATTAAACTTATTTTAGAGCACCCGAATGAATAAAGAACTTGGTGTACCTTTGGCTGCTTTTAAGACTGTTGGAAAATTTCTTGCTTCAATGTCATTTCTTGTTACAATGCGAATGTAAATCTTCACTCTAGGTCTAAGACAGGCTGAGAATGATTCTAATGAACCCACGTCACTGCCAAAGCGGACTACTTGATATGCTGTTCGTTTGAGAACAGCACCAACTCAGTCTGATGACCCTTTGCCGTGTCCAGTTTATAAGTAGTCCCAGGTAACAGATTTCAGTTGTGGAAAATCACGGTACAGTTGGCTGATCATATAAAAAATAAAACGATTTCGATATTGGCTGGTTGGATTATCTGAAATAAAGGGTATTGTATCAATTTGGGTCGAAATCTCCATCACATACCCAATGGTCGGTATCGAATGTGCCCAAATAACTGCAGCATCGTGTTGGGTGCATTCATTTACATTTCAAAAGCTATATTGTTTTTGAATTCCAACTTCTGGGTCTATCAAATAGATAACACATGTGTGCAGTGATATTTGCATTCTACTACCACCAAAGTGAAAACTCTGGATTCTTTGTTATATGTAACGGTAATTTTCGCTGAAGTCGACGTGAACCATTACTTCTTGCGGAGTATGTTTTTAAGCTCTTTAATATTTCTATATTGAATCAAAATATTGGTGCAGTGTTTCATATAGATTATCAGAGTATCTTCTAATTGAAGAATAATCTTTCGTGGAAAATCATATAATGTTTCTTTTTTTGTTACTAATTTTGTTTTCTCCTCATCTTTTACATAGTATTTTTCGTAGTATATTTATTAGTACTATAGTAGGTAGCCAACCTTTCTCAGCTTGTCACAACTTTGTCATTCAAGAATCATTTAGGCACCCTTGACAAGAATACTATTACCGAAATCCAAACGATTTAGAGATGGATTAGGTATGGGGCTTGGAGTTGGTCGAGTGAGAGGATTTTATTCAGCTGGAAGTACTTCAGTGTCACTATTTCGTGTAGAATTACCTAGTAACAACTGTTGAATAGCTTTCTCTTTATTTTTTCTTTCATAATGACGTTTTGAATTAACGCTCCACTTCTTCCCCTGAACTCTCAATTGCCTAGGTGTCATATATTTTGCACTACTTATTCTTTCTGTTCTTTTCTTTTAAGGTTAAGCTTTTAAGGCTCTTTCTTTTGCCTTCAGATCGGCATACTTATCAGGTTCTTCCTTAATTTCTGCATACTTTCTTTGCTTTTGGAATCGGTCGCACTTTCGTTTCTGCTCTAATGTTTGTTTGGATTTCTTTGGCATTATTAATTCTAGTAATCTGTAACAACACATAATATAATGTCATCATATCAAGCTCATCCTTAACTTACATTTTATAAAACGTTTACTTTTTATAAATAAACTTAAAGCTACATCAAGAGACAAAGTAAAAAATATTAATTCTTTATTTTATTATGCATTAAAGTATTATTATTACTGTATTGTAGTAGTATTATTGTGGAAAGAAAATCTCAAGCACGGGTGGGACTAGAACCCCCGACGAGACGATTTGCAAAGTGAAAATGCACATTAAAAAATAATAATAAATTGACATAAAAATATTCTTATATTATATAATACTAGCTGTTCACCACGACTTCGCCCGCGTGTAATTCAGGGTTTTAATTATGTTGCGCGGAACCCTAATTATTTTTCTAAAATATAAGTAGCCTAAGTTACTCCTTAAACCAGCAGCTATCTGCCAGTGAAAGTCCCGTCGAAATCAGTCCAACCGTTTCGGAGATTAGCGGGAACAAGCAGACAGACAGACAAAAATTTTAAAAATTGTGTTTTTGTTATAAGTACCATATTTACTTTCATATGCATTTAGTAAAAAGCTGTTATTTTAATATTACAAACAGACACTTCAATTTTAATTATTTGTATAGATTATTTATTGCCATCGTTTTGACCTCACCACCATCGCTAATAAAAAACGACGGTAAAAGAGGCAGTGAGGAAGAAGGTAATGAGGTTTTAATCTTTATCCAATTGTTTTGTCAATAATATCAAAATTACGAATCTAATTTACGGAGGTAGTCAATAGAATTGATAGTTAACTACATAATAAATAAAATCTTAATAATACGGACGATAAGAAAGAGGACGATTCCAGAATAATCACCTCCCGCGAAACTATTAACTTATTGACATACGGGTTTCAAAAGAGGATTGCAAATTATTTTCGCATGAAAGAGGCTTATTTTGGTAAGTTACTGGTCTTGGTAACACCGAATGCGAAAAGCTGTAACTCCCGAAGAAAAGCTGGGAGCAACGATGCGTGATTGACGAAATGCCATTACACGTTTAATCAAAATTCGTATCACGGCCATTACACGCCGCGTTGACTGAGACATGTGCGGTGCGGGGCGTAGCATGGCGGTATCAGAATTTTTTTGTTAAACATTTATGTAATAAAATTTCATTTTATCGTGGAGTTATAGTTATATATTTTGGGTGTAAACGTTGTGCTTTTTAATAAAGTTTCATAGTATGGTTATTATTTTATATTTAATATTGATATTTTTGGTTAAGAAACAAATTAATTTAGGAGAGTAGTAAATGGACACCGAAGAAAATGAGAATTATTGAAGTATATCTTCTATCTATATTATATATATAAAAAGACAAGTCCTGACTCACTCATCAACGCCCAGCCCAAATCCTTGGACCCAAAAAACTTAAATTTTGCACACAGTTCCCCTTTATGATGTATACAAGGAATAAGGAGGAATGATATATATATATATATATATATATATAGAACGATATAATGATAAGCAAATACGTCTTTCCTGATTTTCCGAAAATCAACCTCTTAGGGGGTGAAATGGGGTAAATAAACCTAATAATCGACATGGGTGTCGTTATTTAGGTTTTTTGGGACGTTGATTGCGAACATGGCAGTTACTTCGAAGTCTAAGACGGCGGACATGAGATAAAATTAATTAAATTGTTTCCCAATACAAACTCTGAACTCCCGTTTTACCACTATGGAGTGACTATTCAATTCGAACCTTCGTAGGTGTACTCCAATAAAAAAAAAGTAATTATAAGTTTTCAAACTTCAAATACATCATTATAACATTAATTTGAATTAGTGTTTTATTTGTGCTGGAGTATACTTACTACAATTTGTACCATGACATTATAGCCAGGGTATTCCACGTTAAGGTGAAAAATATGATGGCTCTTCTAACCAAAGGCAATCTATTTGGGGCGATGCGTTGCTTTATATACTCGGTCGAATGGCAAAAACGGGGTCTTCCCCATATTCACATCTTACTATGGCTAGAGCAGTGTATCATCCCAGATAAGATTGACAATGTTATTAGAGCTGAAATACCTGATCCTGAACAAGACCCTCTCCTCTACGATATTGTGAAGGCCAACATGATACATGGCCCTTGCGGTAGTTTAAACCACAAATCGCCCTGCATGAAAGATGGTTCTCACTTCTCAAGGAGACACAGACAGGAGGCGATGGATATCCGCAAAACAGGAGGTTGTCTCCAGCTGACGGTGGTTACACAATAAAAATAATGCTATTGAGTTGGACAACCGCTGGGTGGTGCCTTACAATCCTGTCCTGTTACGTACTTTCAATTTCCATATTAATGTGGAGTACTGCAGCTCTGTTAAGTCTATCAAGTATATCTGTAAATACGAGAACAATTGTAGTGACCAAGCAGCCTTTACTATAGAGAATGAGAAAGATGAGGTGAAAATGTACGAAAGCGGCCGGTACATAAATAGTTCCGAAGCAGTTTGGAGGATCTTAAGCTTTCCCATTCATGAAAGGTTCCCTCCCGTCTTACGTCTCGCTGTTCACCTTGAAAACGGCCAACGTGTATACTTTACCTTTAATAACCTGTCAGAAAAAATAAAGAGTCCACCTCAGACAACGCTGCTAGCTTTTTTTGAAATATGCAAAACGGACAATTATGCCAAGACACTGCTGTACTCTGAAGTCCCTTCTTACTTTGTCTGGAACAAAAATAAATTTTCTAGAAAGAAAAGAGGGCAAGTTGTAGCAGCCCGGAGTGAGAAATGATGATGTTCTGGGTAGAGTCTACACCATTCATCCAAACAACACTGAGTGCTACCACCTACGCCTGCTGCTCCATGAGGTTATAGGACCGACATCTTTTGAAGACTTAAAGACTGTGAATGGTATTCTCCATCCAACATTTCAGTCTGCATGTAAGATTCTTGGGTTGCTCGAAGACGACAAGCATTGGGACACTACTTTAGAGGAAGCTGCATTGTGCAATTCTCCTTTGAAGCTGCGAAAGCTATTTACAATAATGTTAATTTTCTGTCAACTCTTTGATCCTTTAAGCCTTTGGGAGAAATACAAAGACAGTCTCTCGGAAGACATTAAACGGCAACTGGAGAGAGAATTGCAAGATAGTGCGCAAATGCTCATAGACGAAGTGTACAACAGATGCTTGATATTGATCGAGGATGCAGTGTTAGCAAGCGAAGCCGCGGGCAAAAGCTAATTATTTATAATTTACTTATTACTTTATTTTCATCTGTAAATATTACATGCATGTAAGCACAACCTTATTACGTTTAGATTTGCGATTCCTGTTAATAATAAAGAAATCGAAGTGGTCCCTGGTCAAAAAAGGTTGGGAAATCCTGATTTAAAAAAATACCATTAAATTACTTGCCTTTTTAAAATATTCAGTTACATTGGCTAATTGCACTTATGAATATTCTAATCTATCTGAAGAACTAAAATACAATTAAATTACACTGAAACATAAACTAAATAGGTCCCAGAATTAGCTTATTATTTATTTTACAACTGTTTACCTACCTCTTTGATTCCGAAAAATTGTGTAGTCACAACATTATCATCAACACCACTTTACAACTTTTTGAGCCAAATATCTACAGATAATGCACTACGGGTGTGATAAGAGTAGTATTTTTGCTTGCTTAACAAATAATATCGTGTAAACTGAGATGATGTACTTGAGTGAATTTTAAATAAACAGATCTTACATGCACGTTGTTCAAATAGTTCAGGCGACACCGCGTCATTGCAGGCGTGCGTTTGCTCCTCCCAGACGCAGGAACGGCAATGCCTAATTGAGGTTGAAGCGACGACGGTTGGCAAACAGTCGCTGTCATTTTATCATTAATAATGAAGTCATTATCAAGAGCCCGCCATCTTTACCGGTACTGGCTACTGGGAGCTGGAGCGGTGGTGTCTCAGTAGAGTAACCGGCGCGTCTGGTATAGATACGTCTCCACCAAAACGGTAACGCGTGTGATCGCGCGGGATATATTCTAATCTTACATAACTCACGTCGCTCCCCAATTGAAGCAAACCGGCACAAAATTAATCTTCGCAATGGATATTGAAAAATCACTCAACTTTATCCCCGCAGAAGCTCTTAGGGCGAAGATCATCACTATGGTTACGCTGTTTAGCGTGTCCATGGCTGTTGGATGCGTACCAATACTAATTTCGATGAAATTTAACTGGTTTACTAAGGCAGCCGGTACAAATATGCGATCTTCAAATAAACTGGTGATCGGGTTGTTGGCCTTTGGTGGAGGAGTTTTATTTGCTACAACATTCTTGCATTTGTTGCCAGAAGTTGACGAAAACATCAAGTTATTGCAAGGTAAGGATTTTTGTAGTTTCTTTCACATGCGAACAGCGTAATCAGAAAAATTAAGTTATCCGTAATCCATTACACGATAATTTACGCAAATATTTTTTTTATTATAGTTTAATTTACGAAGTTATTCTGATGATGTTAGACTTTTTTTTGCAAAAATAAAACGGTCCATTTAATTACTACAGGAATCATAATATTATTTAGTAGGGATATATTATGAACTTAATTTTATATATCTAGGAAATAATATTACGTAATCAAGCATTGATTTTGGCAGTTAATAAATTATGAGGAAAAATAGACGTACTTGTATCTTTAAAAATCTTCGACACGTTTAAATGAAATTGCTAAAATAGATTATTAAAAACTAAAATAAACATGTTTAATAAAATGAACTGAAAGTAAAATAATCAGAAATTATCTTTATAAATCTGACCATATTTTGAACATTTTAAGTAATACTTTAAAAACTAAATTTTAAATTTTTTTAATTTAAATTAAATACTTTAAAACCTGATTTATAAAAGTAAAACGAAGGTTAAGGGAAATAGCGCCTATGGATGATAGGCTATCATTCATAGGCGTTATTAATTCATCACTCGATTTATGTCTCAATTTTAAGATAAGAAAAATAAAATAAATACCTAGATCATTTTTATGTAACTACTTCCTTTATGTAGAGCAAGTGAAAACAGGGTGTAAATGAAACCGTGAAACATGCTCGAATAGTGTCCTCAGATACGAGTAGATATTTTTGTACCATGTTTTCTAAATACATATAGCCTGCAATGTGCCTACACCTTAACTTTTTTTAAATATTCGAATTATAAATAGTGTTAAAATAAAAAAAAAATACCTTGACTAAAATTTCGTTTTGACCTTTTACCGACTTGGGTTGTTAGCATATAAATAACAAAAAGCATTTAAGATAATTTGCAAAGGTAGAGCCCCACAACGCATCTGTAGCCTTTATTATATATACGCTTGTCCTAACCTGCACATAACCACTTTTTTAATCATATTTTTTTAATAATAGCATACCACGCGATCTAACATTCAACCAAATGGCCAGTAAAGAACAAAGGTTACACATGCTAAAATGCCTCACAGTCTGTTATTGTACTGGCTCTCTTTACCCTTTAAACTGGGAAACCGCAGTAAGTGTACTGCTATTTGACGTAAGAAATGAGTACCTAAGCGGGTGGTATCTACACATACGGTTTTAGACAGAAAAGAAGCACCTAGTAACTCGATATACATAAGCACTCGCTTATGTGTATCGAGTTACTAGGTGCTAATACTTATATGATAATACTTACGCTAAAAAAATTGTCCAATACGTTTATTTACTTATTTATTTAGTCCCGCAAAGTTCTTCATTACCATATATATCTAAATTATTGTCAGAGTGCTAATTTCTCAAGTCGGCTGAAAACAAGTTTGCTTACCATCGATGGTGTAATTCTTGCCATTTATCTACACGTAGGAAGCTATTATTCATTTTTATTTTTCATTTTACTCTGACAACAGTATATTGTAAACGAGTTAAACAGTAGAGTTTAAAGTCCTTGGCCATGTATTTCTAATATTTTTTATAAATCACTTTTTGACAATCAAAAGCTAGGTCCCTACTGCAGGGAAACCTTGTGAGAAGAAATTCACAACTAGACAATTTTTTTCCAATAATATTATACTATTATATCTTATAAAATATATACGTTAGTTATAAGAGCCGAATAGTTATATGAGCCGTGGTAGCACAGGGGCTAAGCGCTAGCTGTAAATTACACAATACACGAGCAACCCGGCTTCGATCCCCGCCGGCACCAATGAAATTGTTAATTGCAATTTTAAGTGCTGATTTATCATGTGCTCGGCAGTGAAGGAAAATATCGTAAGGAATCTTCATGTCTGAGAAATAAGAAAAAAAAATATTTAGAAGACATGTGAAGTTCGCCAACACGCATTGTGGCTGCGCGGCGGTTATCTCCTTGCCCTAAAACTCTCTCAGAAATGAGAGAAGGCCTGTGCCCGAGTAGTGGGATGTATATAGCATGTAACTTTTTTAACTTTAAGTTATAAAAAAATGTCTAAAGTAGCTCACTATTCCCACGTATTCTTATCTTTAAAATAATGCTTTGTATATGCACTTGAATTTAAGTAAAGGCAAATCAGAATGCGGGAATCTTGTTATAAATAAATAAATAGTTAAACATGGATCCAAAAATAAGCCGCCAGTCTTACAAAGCTGTAATTCTACTTTAGTACAGCAATTTTAGATTTATTACGCGTGTTAAATTAATAGACATAATACATTTCAAAGATATTAAAATAGTTTTTTTTTTAAATTAAACTTCATACATGATGTATAGGTAGACTTAATGCTAGAGACATTCTCTGCCAGTCACTGATGTAAATAATATTATCCAAAATGAATTATGATGTAACAGTCAGGATATAAGTTTCATTAAAAAGATCTCTGAGTGAGTGAGTCCCTTGGTCTAATATTGTAAATACCACGAATAGCACTTTTCTGTTTTATAAATATTTTTTTTATTATTAGCATCTGATCCCAACTACAATAACCCATAGGACAGAACACTGTGGAAATAGCTGAAATAAACCAACCTTGCTAGATCTATATTAGTAATAAATAGCCTTATTTTTTAACTGCATACACATCGAAACTAAGTCTCCTTGACAAGGCTTCAATGTGAGGTCTCCATTGTGGGGTGAGTTAGGCTGGCTTTTCACTATGGGATATAATATATATTATATCCCGAAATATAAATTATATCCCGCCATTGGCTTTCACACTGTGAGATATATCTTTTAACTAGTGTGCGTTCGTCATTGGTCATTCGATTCCCCCCCCCCCCCCCCCCCCCCCCCCCCCTTACCCCGTACACCGTTCTGCGGGGGCGCGGAACGGTGTGCGGGATACAGGGGGCGAAATATAATATATATATATCGCTCGGTCGATCGAAAGAATATTTATAGTTTGAGATGTAATATATATTATAGCTCAGTGTAAACGGTTCCATATGAAATGTATGGTGAGCGATATTAATTTATATCTCGAGATGTAATATATATTATATTATATCCCATAGTGAAAAGCGGGCTTTAATAGTGATACGAAGGAAAACTGTGGCATCTACTACCTAATTCAAGTATTTGATCGTTTAATTTAATATGAGTAGAAATTTGACTTACATTTGATTTAAAAAAATTTAGGCATTTCGTTTTGATGGCATTCAGGAGCTATAATTATTAGTCATGATATTGAAGAATAAAATCTAGTTCAGAGCATCAATAATTCTCATAATTGTTAACATTATATATATATATATATATATATATATATGTATATATATATATATATATATATATATATGTGTGTGTGTGTGTGTGTTTCATTAGAAATATACACTTTGGACATTTTATTGCTAGGCTATCTTATTGTAATTTACACAAAGCACATTGTCTTTATACGTTAGAAGTTGCTCGCCTTGTTTATATTATACTTGTCTTTCTGTTTTCTTCCTGTATTATTTCAAGTGATTTGGGGACGACATAGCATGTCTTCGTCTTCCATTCTCTTCTATTAGTCGTCATCTCTTCACTCATTCCTTTCTACATACTTCCTTCCTTTGTCGTACTCTTTCTATTAATTCTATAAAAAACACTTGAGGCTGAGTCAAATCTCATTTAGTATTCAGGGTCATGAAGCAGTTTTCTCGTTAGAGATGTAGACATGTAGGTCGCGTTACAGAACGTTGTAACTAACTTCTATAAATACAAGAAAATTAAAATAAAGCCTACCCTTGTTGCCGTCTCCATTAAATACAAAATTCGTGCAAATGCAATTTAAATACAACATTCATGCATGCATGCACATGACACTTTTATAAAAACTATGACTATCAGTTGAAAAGCTTCTGGTTCTTTATTATAGGATCTGGATCATCATCACTCTGCAGAAGCAGTTTATGGTATTTCCACTTTAATGTACCTACGAGTAGCTTTCTAATTGTCACTTCTTTCTTCTCTTGATTTTGTTATTTATTTTAATGGGTATTACGCGTTTCAATTAGAAATTGCTATATTTTATGTTTGTAGGTACAATGTGCCATCATATTACAGACATATATGGGTACAAACATAATATTATATGCAATATTAAATAATTCTAAGCGTCTGAAGGACGGATACAAAAGCTTAGAATATTTTAGATTCAAAATACAAATATTTTCGACTCGCATTCACATCATTAAGGTTGAAAATTTGAAATCAAATTATCTTCTCAGCGTTTAAGTAAATTCCATCAACTTTATAAAAATAAACTTGATGTTTATCCAACTACTTATACCTTTTATTGCCTTGCGTGTAATGACACACAGGGTAAGTCAAGTTATCAATTCCGTTTTATTTCATTTATGTTTTTACGCTTTATATAAAACCGACCTAACTGTAGGTCTGTTCACTTTGTTATCATTAATT